ATATTAGAATCATATTTAAATTTTGTATAGGTATATTGATTTATCATTGAATTCAAATTTAACACTTTCGTTAGGTATAGTGTGAATGTGTGATCTACTCGATGACAAGTTACACATGAAATCTACTATTAGTAATTAGACAACTATTCAGGTATATAATAATAATATGCCGGGTTGCATGAACAATCACTAAACATTCAATATGAATCATTAATGATATGATCTAATAGTTTCCATATTTTACGAATTATCATCAAGTACCTACTAAAACAGTCATGGAAGAGCACTATGTTCGATAGCTAGTTTCTAATAGCAAGCCAAATTTTTAGAAGAATAAAAAAGAACTCCCAACTTTTTAGAACTTGCGAAGGCTAGGTATAACATAATTCGTATATAGAAACTAGCCAAGTCAGACCTTGGGCTTCAAAACATTATCCTAAGTGATAAGAAGAAATTATATTTAATGTTGTTATAAATAAATTTCAGGACTGACCATTGAACTTGGCATCCATTTAGATCTCACTTCTTTTGTCGTTGAAGTTAACAATCAAAGCACATATTACATAATTGAACTTGGCTATCATTTTACATATATGTTTTCAGTTTTGTTGGGATATCATTATTTTTTGTATGTAAATTTTTAATAGCTATTTATTCATAATAAAATTATTTCCAAATGGTTTTTATTAAACTATTGTATTTATATTATATTATTTATATTATTTTTACAATAATTTACCATGACGTATTCTATAAATAAAGTTTATTACTAAATACTATAATTCAGTTACTAAAGTATAACATTAATAATATTTATTATAAAATATTTTCTATTGTATATACAGAGTATAAAATATATGTAAAATTAATATACAATTATTTTAACTCTTTTTGAGTATATTTTTAATTATCATAATTTTATTGACTGTAGTTTCCACTGTTGGGTGGATAATTCATAATTTGTAAGAATAATTATTTAATTATTTTAATTGTAATATTTAAAAAAAAAAATATTAATTACATACATAGATAGAAAAAAAGTATTTTGCTGCGCGCGGGTCGACAATATCGACACATATTCGGCTAGTCGTATTTTTGGATCGGCGATACGGGAAAGGTTATTTAAGTCAGCATTACATTACATTACATTAAATTAGAGGCAATTCATTAATTAATTGAAAAATTAAACATAATAGATAAAATAATTGCAAAATTATAATAAAATCAATTGATTAAAAAATTAAAAATTTTCAAGTTTCTGATTTTTTCCTTTGTATTTACCTAATTACCTATCTGTATGCCAAATTTGAACTTTCTAGGTCATCTGGAACTGGGTTAGAATTTTGATCTATAGGTCAGTCAGTGATAAAAATGACGATTTTCGTACGTTAATATCTAAATAACGGTTTGAAGTGTGTTTATGAAATTTAGAGCACATATATGTATCTCGTTAGTCTCAATATATGAGCCAAATTTGACATGTTTATGTGGAATAGTTTTTGAGTTATGAGGGGGTCAAAAGTGGCTCCAAATGGTTAGTGTAATATTACACACGGTGCTGCTCGCCAGTTCTGTTAGCTAGAACTTGGCTTGACACGCTACCGCGTGTCTAGATTCTATGATTAGTTTCATATATATTTGTATTAAACCCTGTGCATAATATTATTCTATGACCAATTACTGAAGACGAAACTGCCGAAACCCATACAAAGAAATAAGAGTCTGCAACAACGCTTGGCCGCTCAGTTTGTTTCGATCTTACGTAATATTTCAAGCATTGAATCTATGGAAAAAAGGCAATTTAAAAAAGGCATATACCCATTTAGGTATAGCAAAAAGCAATAGGTATGCAGTTAGTTTTTACTAAAGATACCACATTACCACAGACTTAAAATAATATATTATAGGTAGGTATTTTAAATTTTGTAAAAATTAATTAATTAAAATAAAATATTACATAACAATTCGAAATATAAATTAATCAGAAATATGAATATAATAATAAGTAGGTAATAAATAATAATTTATAATAGTCAAGTGCCGACTGGGATCGGCTTTATAATAGTATAAAAACATTAGGTAGGTATCTACCTATATTATAAGTCACGTTAATTATTGATAAAATTGTAAAAAATGTATACCTAACAACTAATAACTAATAAGTAAAATACAATTTAAAACATAAAATTAAATGCATATTGCGACAATAAAAACATACATTAATCATATAATTTATAATGTAAAGTTACAAAATAACCACTACGTACCTACCTATATTTTACGCATTTCACTGATTAAGTAAAATATTGTTTTGTATGGTATTTAATTAAATCTCGAGATATTAAGTTTTTGAGAAAACAAATAATTTGTGTCGTTTACCTACTTTTTTTCTATTGCCGAATAAAATATCAAATAGATACACTATTTTAAAATGATGGTAGGTATAAGTAGGTATTTGATAAAATGTGAGTCTCCGTCTCTCGGGAAGCTGCTTGTCAGTAAGTTGTCGGTGACAGTAAATTTGTAAGGTATATAGCCGTATAGATCTCCTGTCCTAAAATAATAGGAAAAAAACTTACCAAATAAATATTTAATCTTCCGAAGAATAACACCTAACCTAACAATCATAGACGTGCGCAGAGTTTTGCTTCCGGGGGTACACACTAAAAATTAGGGCCCACAATAATTTTGAAAACAATTATAGATACAGACAAATGTTTTAAAGATATCAAATGCACCAACAATATTTATTTTATTTTTTTATTCATTCTAACAAACATTACCTAACAATATTTAGATATACAATCTTACAATGATAATCGACGTTTAGAACGAACAACATTTTTGAATTCGTCAATAATTTCATTAATTTAATTTACACTTAATTAATAATTAGGACCCTAGTCGTCTTTGGTGAAGGGTCCAGGGGTGGCCAGGCACCCCCGGCACCCCCTGTGCGCACGCCTATGCTAACGATGTAGGTATCCACTGTTTTCTTTGTTTTTTTTTTATCAACAACCAACAAGTTTCACTCATTCAAATGTTTATATGCTCATTATTTAAATCTTAAATATCATGAATATTTTAGAACTGCAATAGGTTAGAATGGTTGGATAGGTACCTCTTCTTATTTATACCTACTGTTTTTATTAGAATACAAAAATCATTAATTCAATAATAGGTACAATATTTAAATAAAGAAGATAATTTGGATAGTGCATAACAGTGCACTTATTGCTTTCCAAGTGAAAATATTATAACTTTATTTATTTTCATGTAAATAGTCTTTATTAGAATATAAGAATGACTGGTCTAGCACCAGTAGCAAGCTTCATTAAGAAGGATACAATGGGTAGGCTACATAATGAGAAGAGGAGAGAACAAATCAGTTAGAGTAGCATCGGAGAGGAGCATTCAAGACCCAGATTAAGATCTAGGAAACGATGAGTTGACGTGGTGGAAGAAGATCCAAAACTAAAAACTCTTGGGGAGCAGTCATACCAGAGAAAGAAGAAAATAAATAGTCTGTAGGGATTAGGTATACCGACTATGACACAATATGTATAGTTTGATTTCTTATCGTCACCTTGAAGCACTACCAAAGTATTCATCCCACGGTTTAAGATAGGAATACTACATATACTTTAGGGTATATTACACATCTTAAGCAGTGATTGGACCAACAATATATCCACATAATAGAACATCTGGCGATAGACCTAACTGACATAACATAGGTTAACTGATGTAAATAATAACATATACTTATTGCCATTTTTATAATTTAAAATATATAATATAATAAATTGTTGTCAAATACATCATGAGTTTGTGTTGATTTAAATTAATTCAAACAGCCAGTTAATTTTCAAAAATGATGTTATCAAAACATATTGTACTAAAAAAAGTTCACTCTTTGGCTAATAAATTGACATTTATAAGAATACATTAAAAGAAAAAGATGACCAGTCATGGAGTTTATAAGGATTTTTTTTTTGTACATAATGAAATCAACAAAAAAGTAGCTATTAATTATAACTACAACAACAATAAACTTAAAAGTAATCAAAATCAACAATCAACTATTATCGGCTATCGCATACATAACAAATTACTAAGACAATGAAAAAATGTACAAATATCATTGGTTATTTTTCAAGAAAATAAGAAAACAATATACTTAAGTTACCTATCTAATGAACACGTCAAAAATTTAAATTATAAAAACATTATACAATTTTATCAAATATTTTAAAAACAAAACATTATACATTTCAAGAAAATTATACAATTTTTAGAAGCTTAATATTATATTTACAATTAATAAGTAATAAAACAATCAATGTAAAAACTAGCATGGAACAATAATAAAAAACAAATATATAGATAGAATTTTAAGATTCAAGTATATTCATTTAACTCAATTAGGAAGACCAAATGACTAGAGTTGCATTCCATCCACAAATACAAATCAAACTTATGCAACTACGTAAATATATATATATATATTGTTGTCATATAAATAATGAACTAATTTTACATTAAGCTATACAACTTCATGAAATTTTGGTTCTTCATCTATACATGTTTTAAATTTCTAGTGGTACTGTAATATTTATGGATAATAAATTTCCAATTTATAAAAAAATGATATTTAAAAAATTAAATTGATGATTCATATCAATTATTAGTTATTACAATCAGTAATTAATAAAAATCCAGTTAGATATTCAGTCATTTCAATTGCTAAAATAATTTGATTTTAATCTTAAAAGATCTTAAGGTATATTGCTGCATCAATTACAAATTATCACTGTTAATAGGTACTTTCTGATATCAATTAACTTTGAAGTTACAAATTGAATAGAAATTATCAGTCTAATAAGTCCCAAAAGGTTAATAAATCTTAAGTAATCTTTGAAAAATGTATAATTTAAACCTTAATAATTTAATTTAATGTTATCATCACGGTATATTTCAGCAATCCCATTAAGGACCAACTACCTTTCTTGATCAGTATAGGGAAACCTTTCATCATTACAACCGTTTATAATATATAATTCATCATTAGATTCTACTTTGACTTCCTCCGATACAGAAGTTCTTTGACGCTTGACATGCTTATGTTGTCCATTAACCATGTTTGGTTTGGTTTTAGATTCTTCACCAATTCTTTCAGTTTTAATAACATTTATTAACTGATTGTTATTCTTTGAATCTCTAGGCGTTTTAAGGTTACGACTTGAATTATCAGATGAGATACCAACCCTAAGATCGTTAATTAAACTAAAACATTTGAAACCATTATTTGGAGATGTACCATCAGATGGAATATTTTTAATAGATTTTTTTTTAGGATTCAATGCTTTATGTCTTAATACATCATTTTTAATAGCTTTATTATTGGTCGATTTTATTGATCCTGGGGACACTTTACTACCATTGCAAAGTTTTTGTTTTTCAGTAGTTTCTACTGATGATTTATTCCCAGTCAATAATAATTTTTTACCAATTGATGGTCTTGAGTTTCCATTTGACAATTTGTCACCCAAACCTTTTTTTAATACAACTTGGTTACATTTGTTTTGTACTACTTTTGAAACAATATTTTTTGATGATCGTTTATCAATTACCTTTAGCAACTGCTTCGATTCACTTATGGGAGGTTCTTTGTTTTTCACAATGCTATTTAAAGTAATAGTTTTAGTTTTCCCTAGTAGTTCATTTTTAGGTATGGACATCATATTGGCTTCCTTGGAATTGTTTTTTTGAAGACTGCATATAGTCACTGACGAACATTCACTACTGGACGGACTTGAGCGGTCAGTTTTTTGTTGTAGTGAATTTTTAGTTACAGATAATCTATTTCTTTGTCGCAATGAGTTACGAACTGTTTTACTGGTCTCAGGCACTTCTTGAATGAACATTTTATCATTCGGCAGTTTAATTTTTTCTGTTTTACTTTGTTCAGAATTTCCATCCAGCTCTGTCTCTTCATTATCTGAATCATCTATACTAAGGCTTTTGATGGTTTCATCAGAAAAACTACAGTTAGGTTTGTCACATTTACATGTGAACAAGCCACCCTTCACTTTCCAGAAAGTTTTACCATAGTCATAACTAAAATTGTAATATTAAAAATATATATATATTAATTATACGTTATGAAATAAAATATGTTTTTTTTAGGCAGTACCTTAGTTGTTCATTCTCTTTTATGTCTTGGACAGCAAAAAATGCTATTCTAGGAAACCTTTTATCGTGGTGGTTGATAAATGATCGAACGGACATTAGATTTGGATCACACGAATGGTTAATAAAACGTGACACATTGCTATAGTTATAGGCATCAATACAATATAATTCAGCAGCTCCCTGAAATAAGTTTTAAAAAAAAAATTGAAGACCCAAAAACTGAGTTACAAGTTTTTAATTTATAATTTTAAGGTTTAACTTACGGGATTCTCCAGATTAAACAAATAAGAATCTTCTTTTAAATCGTTTGCTTTTTGATCTGTAATTATTTCACCAACATACCTTAAAACATATATTATATTTTAAAACTGAAATACAATTACTAATTTTGTATAGTCAAATAATTAGTATACATACTCGCAAACAAATGTCCCTCGAGATATTGGTTGCAGTGCTCTTACGCCCCAACCCATATCTTTATGCTTGAACAGTTCCAATCCTACTTTTATACCTTTTTGTATAACTCTATTTGCACACCGTTGTTTATGACATCTACAGCGCCAATTGCACTCATATAATATAACACTTGGATCTGATAAAAAATAATAATGTTCTTAAATTTATATTATTATGTTGACAAACGTATTCAGATAATCAATCAGTCAACATTTATTCATTGACATATCTAATAAATAACGTTAAATACTCACTGAAATAATCAAAATCTGAACTCAAACATCCATTTTCATCGTATAAACAGTCACCGTTAGCTTGTACACATTTACAATCACTTGTGTTGCATGCACCATCACAGCTACAGCTCTAAAATAATATTAATTTTAATTACATGTAATTTCACACATTTAATTGTAATACAAATAGTGACTCACAGCTATATGCGACATGGCGGAATCAACATAATTTCCTACATCGTAACAGTTTTCTTTGATGTACGTAAATTCAACAGGTACTTCATCATCAATTTCATTCACACATCTGATTGGAGTATCTTCACAGCCATGACTTATATCTCTGTATAAATATATAATATTATTAGTATTTAACAAATAATAATTAGGTAATAGTTTACTTACTCAGACATAAGAACTGGAGTAGTCTTAATAAAAACAGGTGTTTGAGGCTCCTGAAGTTCTGGTTCAGTCAATTCTAACTTAACAGTAGTTAAAGGTGGTATGACAGTAACTGGTTTACGTTGTTCTGGCGAAACATGTTTTAATATATTATAGCATTCTGAATTTGGAAGACAGATTTCTATTGGTCTTTTTTTCGCTTTGTTTTTATGCCCAGCCATAGCTCCATTATCTAATAGAAAAGTTACTATATCTATAGCATTTTTACGAGCAGCAATATGTCTAAAAATTAGAACAAAAACAAACAATGCAGTTAATTCGGACAAAAAAAAAAAAAAATGTAATAATATGGACTTACAGCGCTGTTTCACCAGCTTCATTGAACATGTTTACTTCGGAATCATATTCCACCAAAGTTTTAACAACTTCAAGACATCCAGAAATTGCTGCCCAATGTAATGCGACATTATTTTCATTATCTGATATCCTTGTATTTGGTTTATATGTGATAAAAAACCTAAATATGCATTAAAATTAATATAAAAATATAACAATTAATTACAATATTTTATTTATCATACTTCACAACATCAATATGACTATTTTCACAAGCCCACACAAGAGGTGTCCATCCTCCATTATCCTTCCAATTTACCATAGAAGGTTGTTTATTAAGTATAATTTTACAACATTCTAACTTTCCATTCTTAGCAGCCAAATGAAGTGCGGTCATACCCTGTATATCCTAAAACAATAATTTATAACAACTGATGACTAACTGCATGGCAATGTATTATTAATTATTTTATAAATATTTAATAATGTATTTTCGTATTACTTTGATTTCAGGGCTACCATTAAAGTTTATAAGATATTGAACAACATCGCTGTGACCACTTTTAGCAGCCATTCTCACGGGAGATTTCATTTTGTTATCAACCACGTTTGGATCAACACCCGCTTTTAGTAATATATATACAATCATTAGGTTTCCTTGACTACATGCAATATGCAATGCCGTTCGATTGTGGTTACTAGGAAATTGGTACATAAGATTGCATTTTGCCCCTATAATATTTTAATAATTTTTATTGATAAAACTTTACTAAATTAATAATTATTTGTGTTAACGTGTAAAAATAAGTTTACCTAAAATTGATAAAACTTTTTTGATGTTATTTGATTCACAAGCTTCATAGAGTCCTTGAACTGAGTACCTATTTAATTTAATTACAAAAATTAGTTAACAATGAACAACCAGTATGTAGTGTTGGGCGAGTATTGTTTTTTCAATTTCGAGTCAAGTTCCAATAATTTTGAATCGAGTCAAATTCAAAATAAGAGTAGGTTCTCAACAAATTCCGGGTATTAACAAAATTCAAGTACTCGATAAGTGCCAAATATTTGAAAAAGGTCAATTATGAATAAAAATTTGAATACTCAACAAAGGCTGAGTATGAACAAAATTTGAGTACTCGACAAATGCCAAGTATTCAAAAAAAGGGTCGAGTACTGGGAATTGCTTGAGTATTTTAATAAATTGTACTAGAAATAGATTTTCAAAAATTTTTAATTTTCTTTCATACAAACCTTGCCCTGACAATTACTGAAGAGAACAAAAATTTAAACTATCAAGTAAGGCGAGTACTCGACCAACACTACCAGTATGTATAAACATACAAAAAATACTTGTTTTAAACAACAAACATATTATTTTATTTAAATGATAGAAATTTAATTTTAATTGATTAAAAATTGTTTACAATTAAATATTATTTATTAATCAATTACAATTTACAAGTAATATATATTTAATAACAATATAAATGGGTTGCAATGTTTGCTCTTTAGACTAATGTAAAAGATTTATTTTTAATTAATTATAAATTTGCATCATAAATATGAATACAATTAATGAAATTATATTATTAAGTATTTGACTCTCGATGAGTATACTTAACTAATAAAACATTAATTTGTATCTGTGTAATGTTATAATGACATAATATAAACTTACTCAGTGATGCATTGCTAAAAATATTCATGGGTACACCTTTTTTCAAACAGGTAAGTGACTGGTAAAAACCTTATCATTAAGTCGAAAAATTTTTTTGTTCCTTTGCTCAAAATAATTATTTTCTTATAGCCATTATTATAACTATTAGCACTATTAATACCTTTTAAAATAGTCTTTTGTGGTAATTTATTGTAGTAATTTTTCAAACAAAACTCATTAAAACACACTGAAAAAAACCGGAAAGGAAAAGAGCGTGTGGTTGATGATACTTTACATTTTATGAAACTTGAATTCAGAAAAATTTGATAAAATTCAATACACCCACAAACAATGAAAAGTAAATTTTAGGTCATTGGTTCACAAAATATTTTTTGATATAATTAACTGATATTTACTTAATACCATCTGAGAATTAACAATTACAATATAATAGAATATTTAGTTTTTATTACTTAAAATTCTAATAGGTATAATATTCAAGGGTATATTGGACATATAGCTGTATACTAGGATATTATTGTACATTTAGAGTAAATGTTATAATAAAAATTATTGAAGTGAGTACATGCATACAACCCCCCTCCACCAATATACCACTGCATTATCTAATTAATAACTTCCAATATGAAAATATTTTTAATAACTTACTTAATGCGTTTGGTATCAACAATTTCATCCTTAAGTTGTTGCAAATATTTAGAAAATTCATGTATATCAATTTCTGGTGGACAATCGAGTGTACTTAATTTTATATTGTCCACTTCCACAGTAATATGTTGTGTAAACTCTTCATTAGGCTGGATTTGTTTCTTACAATTAACTACAATTCTTTTCAGTTCAAAATCATAAACATCGGGGTCACCACAGTGTAGACATCCCCTATCATTTTGATGGCAACCAATGTGGAAAAAATGTTTATTTTTACACATCATAAATATGCCCTAGTAAAATAAGTAAAAACATCACAATTATAAAATAAATCTCAATTGCTGTTGTTAAAATTAAATACCAACAGTGATATTTATACATAAATAATGTTATTTTAGGAAATTAATAATCGACATTTTGTTTTACCTCTGAGCAAAACCGTCCACAACGTGGGCAACTGTGGTGTAAAAAGAACCGCCTCATATGATGTTGACAGTATGTCACATAAGGTAGAACGACATTTGCTCTTAACATGGGCATGTTGCCATATTCATCTAAGTGAGAAGCTAAATTCTTGCATGCATAAACTTTTCCATCTATGCAATCATGAGCTTTACAAGATATTTTTCCTTCATCAACCATAACTACTCGAATATGTTCTTGACACAAACATAAATTAACTTCTTGTATTTCAAGATTACTGTCATTTGTTTTATCTGTAAATATAAAATTAAATACATAACATAAAATATAAAAACATTAGTACCTACCTACCTAATAAAAACAGAAAATGTATAAATATTTTTATTTATGGTTGAGAATCACAATAGACCCAAGTAGTACCTATCTTAGACTTATGATAAGTAATTAGACACCATTAAATAAAAAATCAAGATCATCTTAGACTGGACTTGGTAGTTTTATGTTTTGTTTGTAGATTGAATGTACATACATGACAGATAATTGTAGTGTATTTTGAGGTGTATTTATTGACTAATTTTTGGACTAAATGGGCATAAAACTAGATTGATACCTAGAACTACATACTATAAAATTGAAGCGAAAGAGCATCTAATTAGCCCGTTATTAATATAGTTAGGTTGCTAATATATTTTTGTCTATATTTATACTCAATTTAATGTTAATGTTAATTAAATTTGTATACCTTCTGTATCAACGGTTGAGATACTGATGTCCATATCGCTCTGATCATTTCTTTCACTAGACATTAGTGTGCCTATATCACTACAAACTGAAAATAATCATTTCAATATAGTTGGTATATGATATAAAATTTCAAATCAATCCAAATAGTATACCTGAGATGGAATGTCTTTCTGAATTAGTTTCTGACGAGTCTACGTCATAATTTACAAGATCAGAGTTCAATTGATTACAAATAGCTTTCTTAACTTTTTGACGTTCTTTTGGTACAGTTTTTTTTTTAAAAATATTATATCTTCCACCTCTGAAGAACTTCTTTTTCTTCTTTTTATGGTCTGTAATAATTTCTTCGTCTATTTCCTCTTTGATTGGTGCATCTTTGATATCCTCATTTTCAATCTCAATAGGGGGTTGTGTACTGACGGGAATAACATTAACTTTAGTAGCAACTTCTTCTTGTTCTATTTTTATTTTTTTAGGTAATTTTTTCTTTGAATTCAAATCAATACTGAACGTTCTTTCTTTTCGAGCAATAGCAGATTTCAACACTGATTCATTACTGTTGTTAGATCTTCTTGAAGACCTTTTGAGAGGTATAACTTCAGTGCTGACATCATTGATTTGTTTTTTTCTTTTCGGGCTATTGGAACTGTAATCCGTAAGATTGCTAGAACTCACATAAGAATCAGGTTTATTTTCATTAGGTCTCAATGTCAAGATGATTCTAGGTTTTTCCTGCTCGATTTCATTAGAATTATTCGTGGTTGACGTACTATCGACTTCAGGCTGGTTTTCATACATTTTCTTTCTAGATCTAATACTAGCCACTAATTCTTCATCTACTTGTCCGTTCAACTTGAGCATAAGTTCTGCAATCTCATCGTCGGGGCTTTTTGCTATGGAAAATTCTTCTTTTATAGTAGTGTCCACCACACTTGTTGTAACCATATTTTCTTCGTTTGCCATGTCATCGTTATCTGAATCTCCCACATTGCTAAATCGATTTTTCATTCTAGATAATATCTCCTGAATATCAGGCCTACTAGGCTTTTTATCTTTTAAGTGGTTCATGTTTTTGAATTCAGTAGTGTAACTTATAAGAATCTCTGAAAAAAAATACAAAAAGTTAATTAGTAAACTACCTATATGAAACTAAATGAATTAACTGTAAGAAATAAGTAAAAAGATATGTTCGATACTATCTACTCTAAAAAACATTTTAATATAGAATGACTAAATTGTATAAAACAGATGAGATAACAGGAAAAACTTTGCGTAAAGACAATATGTTATCATTAGAAAGGTACTGATTTGATTTGTTGGATTGGAAACATTTAAACACAGCCAAAACATTTGTAAAAGTGATATGGATAATGCTAACATGTAACGATTAATATTTAAAACATTTGATATTTTGCTAGCTTGTATTTCCAGAAATGTACATCAAATTTATGAAACCATAATGTAAACACATCATTTAAAGTAACTGAGTAATAAAAAACTGCTCTTCACAATTATTTCATTAGATAGCTGGTACAACATAATAATATGATTAGTAAAAAAGATACATCATTGTATTATTCTAATTTTTTGCACCTACCTATTTCAAGTATCAATTAAGCGAGGAAGTTATTTTGAACTTTATGGCTCAATTTATAAAAATAAAAAACAACTATTCAAACATTTTAATTTAATTGTAAATAAATTGATTACTTATATTATTCAGAAAATGATAAAAATTACTAGGTAATTCAGCAATTACTTTTAGTATCAGTAGACTATTACACTTATCTGCCCGTACCTAACCTTGTGAATTTTAATTGTTTCAAATGAAATCAAAATTGCGACTTAGCACTGAGATGACTACCTTCTACTAAGTAGGTATAAAAACTGTTGAGACGAAAAGTGAAATTAGTCAACTATCAACAGATATTATCCTTTTATTGCGTTAATTTAATAACAGATCAATAAAGATATAGCCATTTCTTTTGGGAAACCTAAGTAGAAAAAAATGTATGCTGAGCACCGACCGTGAACAATGTATCAACACTAAGACCAAACCGACCTAAAGATCAGATCAGAGGAAGGGATGTTTAATCAGAGTGTTGTGGGTAACGATAAGCAAACAGAGGAGTGCTAGGCAAGTGGTGGTCAAGTAGACAGAGCGTAGATACTGTTGGGTATGCATGACCGAACAAAGAAAAAAATTGAGGAACTGTGATGTGGTCACTGGTGGAAAAAAAATTTCGTAAAGAATCCCAAGTCAGTTTGACACCAGCAGGTACTCTGCAGAAGAAAGTGGACGCACACAGAACGACAACGAGAAGAACAAGAAGAACAATAACAACAAAAAGAACAATAACAACAACAAGAAGAACAAAACACTTACGGTTCTACAGTGTTCTTAGGCGTCCATGGTTCTTGGACTTTCCGAGTGGATTGGCTGCATTGAGTCCGGACGACTTAGCCTGGACGTACCTCGGACATGGAAAACGGAAAAAGGCTGAAGCGCGACACACGAAATCGGTCCGAAGAGCGACGGTGGTGCGTGCGGGAAGGCGCGGCGGGGGCAGCGCTTTCGACGGCGCTAAAGACGTAACGACGCGAACGGTGGCGGCGACGGCGGCAGCGACTACGACGACGGCGAAGATGTTCTTCGGTGAACGAAAACACGCATGATCACCGATCGGTACATGTAGTATCGGGCCGCACTGTTGCCAACCTCGGCGGGTCTGTACCGTGTTTCCCGTATAGTATGTATAATAATATACCACTACAACTGCAGCCGGACTACGTCTATATACTTACCACCGTGAATTATTATTGCGGAGCTTTCGCTCGGCGGAACGGAACAGCCCGCGTGGCGATATAACAAGTGGGCGAGCATCTGTGGCCGTCGTCGGCGGGTCGCGGAGTACGGTCGGCGCGCGACCACCCAGACCCCTCCCCACCCCTTGGGCCAACTTTCGCCGATCCTGCCGTAGCCAGCGATGTCTTCAGCGGATGCCGCTTCACACGGTCGGAATGTCACCGCCGTACCGATATTATCGATATATTTTTTCTAAAATATTGTCATCGTCTGGTGTCCGACGACTGATGGGACCTGTGACGTGCCTATGGCAGTATCGCGATCTATTGGGCAGGTTCCGTTCCGATGGGCCTCGATATCCTACTGCGGGCCACCAAAAGAACACTCGATGACTCCGAGAGCCCGCGGTACGGCTGGTTGAGTGGTACCTCGACCGTTTTGGAACCACTGCGATGCCTGTGTAAATTGTTATGTGATCGCGTCATCCGACGCTCGCCGCTCGTAACAATTATTATTAATATAATATTATTATATTATTATATTGTGATTATTAATTAACGTTTCGTCGTCGCGAGTCTCAACGAACAATTTGAACAATCATAATATATCGTAACGATTGACCAGCTGCAGCTCAGTCATCTGTCGTGTCGTGTACGGACGTCGTATTGGTACGACGACGTTGGTGTTAACCTCATGGCTCATATTATGATTCCCTTCGCTCGCCGCCTTTCCATCGCTCGCTCAAATGCGCATACCGCGACGGTGGCGTGCGCTGCTCTGCCCGCCGCCGCCCGGTAAATGGTATAATCATTATTATAGTACAGACATTATATTATTTTGTACCACAGCTGCTGCTGCTGTCGTCGACCACGACATTGCACACCGCAAATATTATAATATATTGTTATCATAAATAGTAAACCGAGTTATTACGCGGAATAGATTAAATAAAATATGGTAATACCACGTCGTGTCTGTCACATTTCCATAATTTTCCATTCGGGAAAGCATTAAAACTATTTAAATTGCAACGAAAAAGAACACGAGGAGATTTTACATTCGTTATAACTTTTAAAACTTCATTTTTGCCAAAAATATAGATACGGCGTATCTCGTTTTCGTATCTGATACACACGGTATTCGGTTTACCAAACGATATACGATATCGCCACGACATTGTACACCATGTCAGACCATGGCGGCGGTGTTTTATCTCGTCGTCGCCGTGCCATACAGTACAATATAGAATAATGGACCATTACAATCTCAAATCGTGGTTTCGGTTTGCTAATCACGATTCACGGTCGGTTACTATTGTTTGTGGACACTTCCGACTGGTAACCGTATGTATTAAGTACTCGTCGCAATTTTAGTCGTACACCGCACTTGCACATCAGACATTATATTCAAGCTCAGGCCTGATTAACCATTAGGCACTAATGCACTATAGACTAGAGCACCAAATATTTTATTTCAATATTATAACAATCAAAGCTGAAAGCATCATCAAATGGTTATTTTTTATTTTTTGGTTAACTCTAGTCTGTAATTATAATAGTGGCAATAGTAAGACATACGTTGAGTGTCATCAATCATAAATTTGGCTATGTGGCACACATAATATAATATTATGGTATAGCTGGTATAGCCATTAGCCGTATAGATAAGCATCGATTATTAAACTTTTGAAAATCTGAAGTAATGCAGTCTCCAATTTTAGTTTTATTGCTCCATCACTGCAGTTGATCATATCCAATATCTAATATAAAGTAGATATGCACCTTTTACACTTAAAATATAAGACGTATATTTCATAATTTTTTTTATAGATAATTAATTAATTTCTATTTGTATTCTATGATTTATTTCTAATTAAAATACTTCAAGGTACTAAGTATAAGTATAAACTGGTATATTATGTCATTATATGCAACACTGGCTCTGTGATAGGTGGGCGTTGTCTGGCGTTGCGATGTATACCCACGTGGCCATGTTAAGTATGTGCACGTTTAAAAAAAAAAAAAAATTGTTATTGGCACTTGGTAGGGATGTGCCAATATGTGCGGACAGTTGCTCCACGAAAAATTACAGTATTGGGTTGCAAATAAATGAAGACCATAGGTGCATCCCCCTTAATTCAGCCCTGGTCATTGGTCAAGCTATATGCATAGTGTATGAAGGGGAGAAGTTATAAACTGAAATTTTTTCGAAAATTTATTTAGGTATAGGTTACACATTTTTGATACATTCGATATATATATATATATATATATCATAGGACATAGAATGGAAGTATATTTTCAGTTTTCACTATGAACAGAAATGGCCTTTAGAAGGAATAAGTACACATTTTTTAATGTCGTACTGCACACTACTTTGCAGTACACCTGTATATTACAGTGGTGTGTATCATAAAAAAATTGGTATTGCTCAAATAATTTTAGGATACCTACCCCTCTCATAATACTGTCATACCGACCTATAAAATGACCTATTTTTTCATCTATGAATATACCCACCCACTCATATTTAAGGTGTTGCCCGAGCAACGCTTGGACCCTATATGTTACACGCCACTGGCATAATATACTCTGCACACTAAAATATAGGAGCTGGTGCCCACGAATCTCTTTGGAGGACAAAATATGTCGAAAAGCGTTTCAAACTGCATTCGTAAACTATAAGTATTTAGTATGACATACCACGTGAAACCGCGGTTATAGGTACCGATCGATTGACGGCGTACGTATTGTGATCAAATAATATCATATAATATCTTATGGTTACTACTTACAAGTAGGGATGCTATATGCCTATTGTAATAATATAATGTATAATTTATGTGACATTTCCATATATATGTACCATGGTGTAGATTAATATCCCGTGATGTACCTACCTTCGAATTTTGCTGGCAGTGCTAAGTATAGGTCAGAAATTCAGAATGACATAATACTTGTGTGATATAAACAAGCACAGTAAGTTATATAGAATTGTTTTTTTGTTACAACTCATGCAGTTAAAGTGCGCATACCTACAGTAAGTACATAAATAATATGTACTTATACCTATGTGATTTTATATTTATAAAACACGTTAACACAACAGCCGGCGACATATGCGTCGATATATTTTAAATGGTAATGAAAATGTATTTATTTATTTAAGCCAAACGGCAATTACAAAAAGTACTCATATGAGAGCTATATTATAATATACAATCCACAACTGTTTAATATTATATAATAAGTACATAGACGATGAGCGTTCCGACGACCGACGGAAACCCATCGCGGCGTCGTATTCCGGAAAATTTATCGATTTATGTACGTGGCGATGGTGTCCGTGAGTAGTGAACCGCGCACCGGGACCACCGCCTGGGCGGCCAAAAGACTACGAGGGTCCACGTTTTTAAATAGTGTTATATTTTATATTTTTATGAGTGATACTCATAAGTCATAACTCGATAAAAACTTGAGATATTGTAAAAAAAAAACGTATCGTACAAACACTGAAACACGTTCCTGATAATGTTCGTATCGAATAGGTCTGCAATTCACTCCTATACTATATAGGTATTCACTATTCATACACATAGTCTAAACATATGTATTTATCTGTATAGTTATCGTGTTAATATATTTTGATTTCTAAAAGAATTTTTTTCTTATTTTTTGTGTGCTGGATTGCGTATACGCTACTACCGTTTTCCTTATGGAGTGGTGGAAATACCCATTACCCATTATTTCAAATACTATATTATAGTGTACCCATGTACTTAGTATAAGTATATTCTAGTAAGTAGTCACTACTTACTAAGTATATTATCCATTTCTAAATTTCTTTGACTTGTGCAACATTTCGGAAAATGTACCAGTGACAAATAACTGAACAATTGGACCGGTCGTATACCAGTCGTGGGAACTTTTAAAGACGGAGACAAGTGACAACTCATATTATGCGGACTGTGGTCTGTGTTGCTTGTATATGGCTATAAATCTATAATATACTACAGGGTGTCCCGTGAGGATTTACTCATTGCGATATCTCCTGCAATAATGGAGATATCTTAATTATGTTTTTTTATTAAGACTCGCAGAGGTAAGCACTACAAATATTTTATTTTTTAATTAAATTAAATTTTTTAGTAAAAAGGTTAAAAAAATTATTTTTTTATTTTTTTATTTTTGAAAAAATTGAAGATAGCCATTCTATAGAGTATATTTTTGTGAACATTTTGAGCTTTTAACATTTTATTTTCATTAATCTCATGATTTTTAATAATTTTTTTAGTTTATTAGTAAAACGTCAATAAACTGGTTTTTGTCTGGGCGGCGAGTCCCCCTCTACGGCTAATGAGTAAATCCTCACGGGACACCCTGTATATTAATATATTACACAAATACAAAATTTCCAACTCACCAAGAGTACAACAATAGCAGATTTTATGAAATTGAAGGAGCACTAAATTAAAATATTGATGAATTGATGATTATAACTTATAAGTAAAATGCAGTTTGGTCTTTGGTGTTTCAATTAAAAGACCATAGTGGCAATCAAATTATTTTATCTTGAAAGGAGGGGTGTTGGAATAGTGGGGCGTGGATAATTTTTTAACTTAGACTTTAATCATTACAAACATAATTTAAGGATAACATATAATAATATACTTATATTATTCATTACATAGGTAGATGTAAGCTTAATTTATTAATTTAATTTTTTTAAGTATACCTACGTCCTACACATATAAAGTACTGTTTAGAACATGATCACAAAATGTATTTATCATAATATATTTTGTAATGGTTTAGTGCAGCTTTTTCCAAACTGTGTTCCGAGCCCCGAGGACCCCTAGGAGTTTGTGAATTATTATTATTTATTGATGTTATGTAAGGTTATTTTTATTACATGGTCCGTAATCATTTTTACTATATACTCTATGGCGGGGTCCGGGCAGAGGAAGAGTTTCTGTACTATTCAGTAAACGACTCTTGCTTATAGCTAATTTGATGATTATTTAAGTGCAAGTCAGCGGAAATACGTTTAACCTCAGGTGTCACAGTCACTTATAACTTTATACTAGCTATTAGCTATACCTAATATTCGGTTGTTCATTTGCAATTTTTCATAACTTTCGTTATCGATAGGTAATTAAGTTTTATAACACTGTAAACTCTCTTAGGGGAGGCCTCCCAGTGACATGGTTGTGGAGAAAATGTCGATATTATAATATAAATTTTCTGTTGTAATTTTGTTTTTAACAGTATGCAATCGTTGAGAAAGACAGCTTGGGGTGCGCGGCCATTAGGGGCCCCCCCTGGAGCCACCACTGAAACTTCTAGAACAGGGATTATGCCAAACTCAAAGTATTAACTGGGCCAAATATATTGAAAGATTATACTATGCGTCCCGTACAAAAAAATGTATTGAAAATAAACGTTTTATACAAGTGTTTAATATTATTCATTACCTATACTTACAAATTACAATAATACTAAACAATACTTATTAAATTACAGTTTATCAGAAGAAAAGTAACATAATGTACCTATACCTCTCAGTTCTCACTAACATAGTTCAATAGTTGTTACACGAAAGGAAAATTTTATAATTTATTTTTTCAATTAATTATTCATTATTATTGCTATCCATTTTCATAAAAAACGAGCCAAGGGCTGCGTGTTTGACGGGCCTGCTCTAGAATATGGTAATATGTATTTATTGATTTAATTAAATAGTAATATCGTATTGAACATACTTTAAACTCCATAATTATCTAAAATCTAAGGTAGAGGCAGGGTTGTTATATGTTTAAAACATGAATTTATAACAGTGTAAAATCCAAGTGAATATTGTATTTTTTGGTTTACTATTAATAATAAATAATAATAGTTATTATTTAGAAAAAAAGTTTCTGTTTAAAACTCAAAAAATACAGTTTTTAATAACTTTTGTTAAAAATATAAAAAATATTAAAACAGTATTATTTTATAGTTATTTTATGTTCAAATTTGGACGAAATTACATATTAAGTAATAACTTACAGTAGCTTATAACTATAGTTCTTATCTATACGAGTAAATTGTAATATTATGGGAGTTTTTAGAATTCAATATTATTAAATATGATAGAATGAACCTACTTACTATATAATGATATTAAAATGACAATAAATGTTCGTTTTATTTTGTAGGTTTTATCGATTATTTGAAACATTTCTACTTTTGACCCACTAAAGTACAAACCGTAGATCGAATTTGCTACCTACGCTACTAGAAACCTCCCTCGATGTTGATGATTAGAGCATTTTTTCAAATAGACAGTTACTATTCATACACAAAAAAAAAATCCTTATTTCTGGCCAATTCAAAAAATAAATATTGTAAAATCAATATCCATTATATCCATTCATCGTCCTATTCAGAATCTAAAATGTTAAACATAATATATTTTTTTTTTTCATTTTGAACTAAAAATAAAATTGAGGTATTGAAGTTATCCCTTCTAAATTTTTTCTGCACACCCCGCAAAAAAATCCTGCTTTTAAGCCAAAGCGTTTACATACGTGATCCATCTGAGCACGAGCGTTAAAATCTGTTTATTTTATTGTGTAGTATTATTATTATTATATCAATTAAACGTATGCGATTAAAACAAACGGCAAACAGTAAAATGCATGTACTTTTCGCGTTAAAATATATAATGCCATTGTCAATTGACAGTTTTCATATTTATAAAATGATCAACAAAATATGTCATATTATGATAGTATTATATAGCATTAGTACAGAAGAATTTCATGAATAATTGTGTTTGAAATTATTATGAATCGTTCTTGGTTCATGGTTTCAGAGATGACGTAGATTTTCACATTATGTCTATTAATTTTATATAGGTCTCGATCCGTCGTCCGCGGTGACATCTTTGTTCAGAACACCGCGAAACGCTGGTTTGAAGGGTCCAGTAACTTTAAGACTCGAAACTCCGCGGTCTGACCCGTCTATCCATAAGGAATGATTATGTAAGTTCTGAACATTCAATATAGTCATTTATAGATAAAGAAAATGTGAAGAGGGCAAGAGGCCAAGAAGGCCGAGATACGGATAGCATATTAACAAAGTGTACATGATCTCGGCACTGCATATAGAATAACCCATTTTCATTGGCCGATTCAAAACCTATTCATTTTACCGCGCATTTTCCTGCTGCAGATATTTTGATAACAAAATTATTATCAATTACATTTGCTAGGTATATATATAATATATATATAATGTATTTATTACTGAGTAGTAAAATATAATAGTTATGAAAGTAAATATTATAAATTATAATATAGGTACCACTTATTTTGATCTCGGCTTTGTAGAACACAGTATACCTACCTAAATGATTAATAATTAAATTATTTAAAATTAAAAGAATGTTTAGTGATTTATGAACGGTTAAGAAAAATGTTTTAGTACATTGTTTCATATGATACTCTATGCATGAAGAGGTTAACAATACATAATTGCAATAAATTACATAACCAAACACATTTAAATATCGTCACTATAACAACAGAAAAAAGTAAAAACAATGATATATCATTTATAGCAGGAATAAACTTTGTGAAAAATTAATATCAATGTTTCATTTAAAATAAACTATTTATTAGTCGTTCCCATTTTGACATAGTTATTAAAGTATTAATATAATATGCAACATTGCAACAACTACCTATTAATCTAATGTGATTTAGCATTTGGTTGGTTTTTTCCAATGTTATGCTGTAAGTTTCTTTTTCTTTTACTTTTTTTTATTTTTTCATCAGATGGTGGTCGACCAACAGCTAATCGTTTGCATCCTCTTGTTACTTCTGGTCTTCTCCGACTAATTGAAGTAGGTTGAACATGTATTTTCGATTTAGCTCCAAGGCGAAAAGAAATTTGTTTTCCACAAGTGGCTAAAAATGTTTCCCATGAATTTCTTGTTTTTACATTTTTTAACTTTTTTAAAAACATTTGTGTTGATGCTGTTGAGGATCCATATTTAGAATGGTTCTCTGTCATCAAGTTAATGACCTTCTTAAATTCTTCTTCTCCATTCAATTCAGAACTATCGTCTAAAGGTATATGTGTAGATACAACATTATCACTTATTTCACTGTTTACTTCATGTTTTTTATACTCATTTATACTATTTTCATTGTCATTTGTCTTAGTACCTTCTTGTTCAGTGTTTGTATCAATTGAACTATTCTCTTCTGATGTCTGTGTTATTTCATTTAAGGAAGTATAGAATGATAAAGGTTGTACTTTATTTCCAAATGCTAAAGCAGCCATTGCATGCCTGCAATGTGCCGTAACATGTGGTGCATTAGGTAGCTCTTTACCAAAATAAAAATATATTGCTGCTTGGTGTTTGCAAAATTTGCCTAAACGCCCATATTCACAAGTGCAACAGCCTAAATCTGTGTAAACTTCGTACATACTATCACCAGTTTCACTAGGTACTTTAAACATATGATCATCTATCTCTTTAATATTTTCCTTTGATAAATACTTAATTTTTTTTTTCATAGATACCATATATGTGGTGGACGTGAGCGATACATGATTATAGATGAAAATATGAAAATATGAAATATAACTGACTTTCGTGTAATATTCGATAGAAATCATAATACTATTTTTTAAGTAGGTACCTATTTAAAGTAATATATTGCCGGCATCCAAGGTTTATTGATCATAAGGATATATAGACTAGGTATATTACTAAAATCTTTATGCTGTGTCAGTTTCGTCTACCCAGAGTGCTTCGACGACGCACATTGTGAGGCGGCGTAACCAATTACAAGAATATAAGAATCTTCTCTACATCTTGACTGCAACTTTTTGGTATAGAGGTAAAAGTTAAAAGTTAAAATGTAAAATTTCGGATAGATTTGATTTGTACTTTCATATAGCCATATTATAGGTAATCGATGCGACGAAGCCAAATGTTTAATAAATATATATTACTCGCTATGAGCTATATTATAGTATATTTGTTGGAAACCCCAATATTATATACCTACTCTACCCTATAGGGTACCTAACATATTTGTTTTAAAAGTTTTTTTATATTCTTATGACAATTCATTTTTGATAGATGTAAGATGTCTCCCTGTAATAAATGCATTTTATTTGATGGGAGACTTCAAAGAGATTTGTACATGTGGTTTTCAAATTCACCAGATAGGTCTAGTAGCATTAAATTAAATGTAGAAAGTAGTAAGTAATTTGATTATGGTGCAAATTTGAACAAATTCTATTAACTAATTATTTTTAATTTTAATATTTACCAGTGCTGAACTGAAATTAAGTTAATTATCACGGCCACTGTTGACTTTTGACAATTCATTTGATGATTATCTACAATATTCTTTGTTACGAGAAATGTGTGTACCGTTCGTTGACAATGTTTTAAACTTATATGTTTTGGATAACAGAATATAGTTTAGAAACTATCAAATATTGGATGAAAATGGTAAGTGAAATTCTAATTTCAAACTGATTATAAGTTAATATTCTTAACTTTAATTTACATTTGAAGAAAAAAAAACAGTGAAAGAGACAAAAAAAGAAAAAAATGGTTTATAACTGTATAACTACCTACCTATATTAATAAAATTAACACAATGAAAATCTTAACAGTAATGCTGAATTAATCCTATTTTATATATTATGCACTACGTTACTACAATTTATTTATATATTTATCAACAACAAATTGCTTAAAACTAATGGCCAATGGGATTATAAAAGACTTGAGGATTAATTCTAAAATTAACACAACAATTTATAAAAACATATCATGGTCTCAATTGTGCAAAAGTTGTTCTTAATTTATGAATATTTGTATTATTATTTTTTTAAATTCTAGTATTATGGCTATGAGTATTTATTGAAATATTAGTACTCTTATACTTAAATAATAGTGTACAAACAAATAATAAATGCAGATTAGTAAGATTAAATATTTTTAATTCTTAATATAGTAAATTAGTAGAATGAAACCATTACTTTATGAGTAAGTATTTAATTAAAGAATTTAATGTGGTCTATAATTTGATAGAATGTGTGTTATAAGCAGAACCACAGAGAGCAATGCTATACAAGACTATCGATTGTATTAAAGATTTGTAAAAGTGATGTCAAGTTTGAAAAATAATTAATTGCAACAGTTCTAAATTAAAGTACAGAAAGTTAAATACATTGTATATAAATAGTTTGGTAATATTTTAGATTCTGAGTGAAACGATGAATGTATTGATTTTACAATGATGTGTGTTTTTTTATTTTTTTATTTTTTTTGTATCTGTGTACACGATAAGTAGTCGAAATAATGCTTCGATTTTCGACTTCAGTATCTTGTTCGATTGGAAAGTGAATATCGTTGGTGCATTGGGGAGGTCAAAATTTAAATTTCCCAGTAGTTTTCACAAGCGCCGGGAAAAACAACATAAAAATTAAGGAAAAACGGGAATTTTTACGCAAAATTCATTTTCCAAAAAATCGATTTTGGTTATTGGTGTAACTCTAAAACAAATAGACGTATATACATGAAATTTTCACTGGTTATTTATATTTGCATTTTCTATACACGATAACATTTTCAAAATATTTTGATTTATTTTGAACTGTTTAGGGACATTTTCATTTTCCATTTTTTTTTAGTTTTTTTTCTAAAAATTTCAATAAAATTTTATTTGTTGGTTGCGAAAGCTTGAAAATTTAATAGAAGGCTCCTAATATGTTGTTTCAAAGGCAGATGAAAAATATTAAAAATCCTTAGTCACAATTTTTTTTTATAAGCATTTAAAGTTCAAAAATTGACAAAATATGGAAAAATCACGAAAATTAGCAAATTATTTTGAGTTAAGAATTCGTAAAAATTTTTCTTTTTAAATCTAAGATTTGAAAATCTAATACAAGATTACTCATAAGATTGTCTACCTTTATCAATAAAAAAATTTATACCGGAAAGTCAAATTAAATTTTTATGAGCGTTTGAAATTCAAATTTTTACAACATTGGATATTCACTCGATTTCTCATGTGGCAATTTCCTTTTTTTGTTGTAATTAAAAAACGAATTACTGTAGATACATGAAAATTTCACTGAATGTTTATATTAGCATTTCCTATACACCCTACAATTTTGAAAATATTTTGACACTTTTTGAGCCGTTTACGGACATTTTCAGTTTTCAATTTTTTTAGTTTTTTTTTTCTATAAATATCAATTAAGTTTTATCTGTTGGGCCAAAAAGTGTAAAAATTTAATACAAGGCTCCTGATATATTGTTACAATATCAGTTGAAAAATATTAAAAATACATAGGCACAATTTTTTTTATAAGCATTTTAACATCGAATTTTGACAGAATTTTTCAAAATCTCGAAAATTATTAATCATTGTAATTAATAAATTATAAAATGTTCAGTTTTTATAGCTAAGGATTGAAAATTTAAAACAAGATTCCACGTAAGTAGTTAATTCTCTTACCGAAAAATCTAATAAATATACAATCACAGTTTACTTTTATAGTCATTTTATGTTCAAATTTGGACGAAATTACATATTAAAAAACCTAGTTATTTTGTTGTGATTATATAATATTATTCGTGGGTACCTACTTGAAACTTCTAAAGTGTACTATTATATATATATGATAGTATCAGGGTTTGTTGTTGGTGTATAACGTGTTATAAGTACCTAATGGATATTGTGATATGATTAATTTGGAATTTATTTTAGGTCAATTTTTTTTTTAATACCATAGATATGTATATAATTTGTCTTAAACCTAGACTGATATACCGTCTTCGCTCAGAATCGTTTTTCTTATACAATGATATTATATCATTGAATTCAAATTTAATAGCATCCATTATACAGTGACCCACTTGTAACCTACTGTACAGCAGAGCGACATCCACTTACCCACCTTTTTTAGCTTGGTATAGCATTTGCAGCTTATTATATTCTACCAAATGAAGTCACACATCTAGCTGATTTTGTTTTTGGATTTTAAATTGTCTACACTTAGAGACCCAGGGGGCTAATTCTTGAAACTGTGATAAACTTTGTTGCATGAGATAACATTTTTATCGCATGAAAATAAATATTTGGTATTCTTGAATATTATGATATGACTAGTTAAACATAAAACATTCGACTATCTGTCGACTGGTAAAAAGTCGGTGACAAAGTATTTAGTCGCAAGATCGCATACATTATCAAACATTTAAGAAATGTGATATTCATTTTTGAAATTGTTTAGTTGATATTTGATATTGTTTTGAATTGTAAATTGTAAATTGTGATATTATTTTACAAAATTTCTCTTGATTTGTATAGAGTTTAAAATTTAAATACTGAATTATGATTTTACTTGTACTAATACAATAATATCTTTTTTACTCATTCTACATTGGCTAACTACGATGAAATGGCAATATTGCTTGCTACTGAGGAATGAGGATGTATTGAAGATCATGAACAATTAATTAATTTCATACAAACTCAAAATTAAGAAATTATAAGGTACTGCCTAATTTGCTGAACTGCTGGATCCCTTTACATTAACAGATCGACTGTTCATTAAAAACTATAGACCTATAAACAAATCTTAAAGTGTCATTATTGTTTGTGATTAACTTGAAAACAAAAGTTAGTTCACTTTAACTATACCACAACCAACAGTATAATCCGCTGGATAAGTAAAGTTGTTCTAATAAGCCAACCTAAAATATTTCATGATTGGGTTTAGTTTCCAAAAAATATGAATGAACCGACCAAAATCCTTAATGAGTAGGTAACTAATGTCTTTAATTATTTATGAATTATGAATAATAAATTAAAAATATGATAGGTGTTATTTATTGAATGTGTACCTTCTTCAACCAATTTAAATGACAACCAAATTATTGAACAGGTATATATGCTATATTATGAACTAAAACGGATAGATATCAATTAATTAACATACAATTGGTAAACGTTAAAATCTTATTAGTATTTTATTACATATTAGCATATTAGGTACATGTATAATAATTCTGGCACCTAATAACTTAATATAAACACAATATTCAACTTTAGACTTGTATTTCAAAATTAAAAATACTCAATGTAAACTCACTTTTCCCCAGCAGTACCCACAATGTTTATGTTATGTATGGAACAATCCGATACTCCATCAGTTATGTTAAAGAAGTTATAATCATTTGTATTCATTAAGTGAAATAATAAACTAAAAAAAGGTGGGCAAGTGGGTGTTTCTCTGCTGTACAGTAGGTTACAAGTGGGTTACTGTAATGGATGGTGTTAAATTTGAATTCAATGATATAATATTATCATAGTTTAAGAAAAACGATTCTGACCGAAGACGGTCAGTTCCCCTATGATATATTACTCAGTGCCGTGCTAACTCTCATTAGTCATTGGTGCCCCAGGGCAATAATATTTGGCACCCCTAATAAACATACATATTTAAACATTTGCCACCCTTTAAAATATTACAAGTTTGGCCGTCTTAAGGCA